GACTCTTTTCCATCGTATGTTCTTTCGGAGGCTGGTTCTGTCTACGTATTAAGTTGAGAGGTACCTGTGAATAATTTTAAGTATGATATACCGTCGTCAAAACCCTTTAGAACTTAACCTTCAAAAATAATCGAAGTCTGAATGTTTTTGAACTAAATTATAGCCACCAATTACAAATGCTTGTTGAGTGTCCTCGTAAGATTTTTGTTGTCAGATTCTGCTCGTTGTGTCCTCCAATCGTCTTTATACCCGAGTAAAGGATTTCAGGAGCTCATTTTTGTGGGAATAAGTGAGCGAGAAGCCCCAAGGTTTATGCAGTGGGACGGCAAAGCAGATATTAAACGATCAAATAACATTCTACGCGGCGATGTTCGCTCCATTGTTACATGCGCGCGCACGTACTGTTAAGTACAAAGGAGAGATGTCGTTTCGAACTGATCGGCGCATGCGTAGAGCGAGTAGAACCCAACCGCCCTCCCCTCCCAGCTTCTACCGGTCGACACGAATGGCTGTGCCTGACAGGAAACATTTTCAGAGTGGTTACTCAGAAGACCTAGGAAGAAGGCGAGTAGAAACGAAGGCTACGTGCTGTGTAACATCTCCGTGACGTGCGAGGCCAACGATCGGTGACACGTGCTGACTTAATACTGATTAACTGGGCGAGTTGAATAAGAATACGTAATCAGAAACCGCGAATGCTTAAAAGGAACGTAAGAAAAGTGACACAAATAATTAAAATTACCCTGCAAGGGGAAATCGTTTCTGGTGCGGTGCGGGGGGAATGTTTACTGCCTGGTGGACTAGAGGGCTGCTATTGGTGGGAAGTGTGATACGTCAGAGCTTTACGCTACTACACAGACTGAAAACATCAAGCAGTTAAGAGTAGCGTGTAGTGAGCGCACCTCTAATGTGTTCTGATAATATTCTAGATTAAATCGCTGTGCCGCTGTGAGGTAATCTTAAAGCTGTACCCATTAGAACACGTGAAAGCCTGTCGTCTGTTGTTCGTTCAGTGGTTGGGGAACGAATGCTTTTAGGATCGGTCGTCACTCACCGCGAAATCTCGCGCATGCGCGTATATCGAATTCCTAGCAGGGATTTGCTTATGAACGTCAGTGAATGGGCGAAGTTATGTTATGGATGAAAGCCACTCCCTGAACATGAACTGCGTGAAGCCGTGGTCTCAAGCTACTTTGACGACAAAGGCGAATTTTTTATCTCTTGAAACGTTGTCAATCTGAATGAAGTAAATTTCTAAATTTCGGTCCAAAAAATATATTCTTCTGTTAATATTTCCATTGTAATCACTGGTCCTCCTTTTAGGATTTCAATCCCAATTCGTTCTTGGGGTAACTGAGTAAAACCCACGAGGAAACTGCCAGTTTTGCCACCGACGAATGGAAGGCGAGTGGTCGATATAACTTGGCACCGATCGATTTTGGCGCCTTAACATCGAAAAGTTGTAATACGTTCTCATTGGTTTCCCCCCTTGTCACCTGTCACAGCATCTCGAGTACCGAACAACTGATTTACGTAAAACTACGTGAGATTTCGAGTTCTGACGACGACGACGAGAATTAAGATGGATGCCTTCTGGGATGTTGCACCCTGTAGTGTGTCAGTAACTGACAGACTTTTCAGATGTATTTACCGTCACATGGGACACACATCGCCCTGACGATGGAGGCAATAAACACTTCTGAAACGTCAGCCATCTTTACTGCCATAAAATCAGGTAGCGGGGAGTCATAATGAAATTCATGTTGGCGCATTGCTGTCTTTTGTTAAAATCGTTCTACAGCAAGTGACGCTTTACACCGGGAACAATTGTTCATCTTAATTAAGAGAAGTCAACAAACAGAACGGGCCCTGCGTAAGAGCACTTTAAATGTGCGTGGGAGTTGCTTCAGAAGAAACTTCACTCGGTATTGAAATATCGCACAATAAGAAAACAGCGTCATTTAGTAATTATTTTATTATTATTTAGTGTTGTGTCTGACGACAGGTCCGTATGAACAGGATCCTTCCATCCTTTTCTCGGACTGGGACCTGTTCATATACGTTCTTGGCAGATGATCCAGAAGTGGTTTGCCATTGCCTTCTTCTGTGTGTGAAGGGAGTAATTGTTGGGATGCCACGGAGGAAAACTCCGTGTTGCCTAGACCACGGCCTTGCCCAACACAAGTTATAAATTCGGGCACCGCCGGGAATCGAACCCGAGACCCCAGGATTACAAGGCCAGCGTTCTAACCGCTAGACCACCGTGGCGGTCATTTAGTAATGACTAAGAAAATTGGTGATTTTTTATGTATCAGTCCTGATTTTCCAGCATTTTCAATAAGCCTTTTGGCCCGCGAGTCTATAATAAAAAGGTGAATGTGCCCCCAGATCTGAGAAGGTTGAAAACCAGTTCTGAGCGTGTTATAGAGAAAGATTAAACACATTTTATGTCAATTACACTTTTTGCGCGAGTCTTAACTTTTCAGACTGATTCAGTCCAAGTTTAATATCGGAGGTCCATCTGCTTATCGACGTAATAGAGCGTAGAAAATGCCGTTGACAAACTGAATATCTGTTGAGGCAGCTTCAGAACTGTTACGCCGTGCGTACATTTCCTAATTTGTTAATCTCTGCTCTGAATATATACATGCTTTCCAGACTTTTGAGGTGTGAATAACAGAAACCAGCGACATCCAGTGTTGAATTCTGGACATCTTCACGGTAGAAAATGTACAACCAACACGACTTCACGAAACGTTCTAGAAACAATGCAGTACGACTGTCTGGTATTTCCGACACAGACTTGGAATTTCTGAATCAATGCCAGAGGCAGAAGGCGTCAGATGGGGTGGACATTTTCAACCCCCCACCCCTCCCCCAAACAACCCAGTTTCCCCTCATGCAACTTCGTCTGACTTCCCAGTTTACGATAGTCGTGTGTCTCATCACAGTTGGCGATATGTGGTGGGCGCTTCGATTGTCTCGATGCCAAATTCGATTAAAATCGACTTTACGGCATCAAACCTTCCTCCGCTGATGTATCTTTGTTTGCTTTTATCAAATGTTCCCAGTTGTCTGCAGTTTCCCTTTGTGATTCACGTATTATCATCTTGGCTGTCATGAAACTTCATTTTTCCCGAAACATTCCTTGGACGACAAGGGCTTTGAGGCAACTGTACCGATAAGAAACAAAATTGAATTCGCAAAACCTAAATGTATACCCCAGTACCGTTCGGACGGATGTCTGAACGGATGGGACATCCCTTGTGTGCGTTCAGTTGGGCGTTGAAGACGCGAAAGTTTGGCGACGTTCTGTCTAAGCCCGTGTCTCCCTGCCAGTAGTAAGTTCCAGGATGAAATTCCTTTACCAATTGCCAGGCTTTGACGACTGTAAGCACTTCGACTGTTTCAATGGCTCTAAAATGTGCGGATAAGAATCGAAATGCTTGAAGGTTTCTTTCTTGATGGACAGAGACGAAACACTTCTTTTACATGGTTCTTGTATAGATTTGAGGAATTTCTTTAAAAAATTAAAATCTCGTTGTGTTGGGCCAGACAAAGTAATTCCCATAATTGTCAGACGAAATTGAATGCTTTGGGGCCGGAAGTGAATTGAATTCGAAGATGGCTGTCTTCTGGGCTGTTCCACCGTGTAGTCTTGTAGAAGTTTACCAACGTTTCGGAGATACGTGCTGCTTCCATCATCAGGGCGATGAAAAAGCCGCGCGGGAGGTATCAGTTCGAGATAGAGCAAGCCGTCAGTCAAGGCACAACTTTGAATAATATAAATGTGAACACAACCCCCCCCCCCCCCAAAAAAAAAAAGAAAATATTCTTCTTCAATACTTTACACGATAAAGCCATGTCTGTATTCTTGACGGGAGAGTGTCATCGTTGATGTTCATTAAGACGGGCTTAAGTGAATACGAATTACGATTGGTTTCGGATTTTCCTACCGAACACGAGACATGTTACTGGAGTCCTCTGGAGATGTTTCTGCAGTGCTAACTGTCCCTCCGTCTGTTTACGATTTCGCCGTGTTATTTGCTGTCGGTTGTCCTAAAAATACGCGTACACATATTCGGTGAATGAAATAAGGACGTGTTAATAACCAAACCAATACGTAGGTCAGAATTGGCACTTAGTGAATTAGCGAATCTAGCGCAGGTGTTCAAAATGACAACAGTTAGCTTCTATATCTTGCCGGAGCCCTTGGAATCGTTGCTGGATTTTCGCTGTACACCCCCATTTTAAGTAACACGACAATAAAAATAAAATTATGTGAGGTTAAATCTGGCGATCATGGTATGTACTCAATCGACCCTCCGCCATTTTGCATAGTTGAATCATGGGAAAAGATACTGCGGTGCCATCTGTTAAATGTAGACTGCACTAGGTTAACCTCTCAAACGCAACGCAAGGAGATAGATAACAAGATTAAGATTAATATTCGGTATTATAATGTGTATACATATTTTTGGGACACTTTGTATATAGTCCTGTGACCCACCGGTGAACCTCACTGGAGCCAGCGTGATAAGAGGACACAATAAATGCTGTTATTAATAAATTAATTCAAGGTCAATGTGATATGAGAAATTTCGAAGAGCGTATATGGAGAGTGTCGCTGGTACGTCATTTAACCCAGAGTTTACTAAGCTTGTTTTCCGAACCATAACCTAAAACACTATTAACAATGATCGAAGAAATAAGTCGATACCTGTTACTTAAACTAATCACAAATCTTAGGCTGCCAGTGTTGGTAACTCTGACTATGAAATCGTAAGAAAATCTTTAGCGAAACGCACACGCCATCTTTCGCTGGAGTCGAGTACTAGCATGACCAACGTAACGGCGCGAAATTTAAAATCATTGCGAGAATAAATTTCCCAACAACACAGCCGTGTCATTTCACCCAACTTAGGTTAGTCCGCTAAAGAAACCAAAGGAACTTGTATGAAGTCTCTTTCTTTGTGTGATGTAGAATGAAAATGTTGCAGAGAGGAGTCTGGAGGACCACGAAGAGGTTCTGGCTGTCTATGACATGGAGGTGGACGGGAGGCAGACCGAGAAGCGGTTCATCTTTCGCAAAGATTTTCGAAAATACGAATTCTTCCATAATCCGCAGGTGAGTTATCCGCTGAGGAGCCCGGTTTCAGAATCTGTCCGCGGCGGGTACGAAGATTGCTGTCTTCTGGGTTGTTGCCCATGTTGGTACAAGTTAACATACGTCTCAGAAATGCTTTTTTTTTGCCTCAGTCATCAAGTTAATCGCCCTGATGATGGAGGCAGCGAGCACCTCCGAAACATCTGTAAACTTCTCCCAAACTACACGTTGCAATAACAGCAGAAGACAGCAATATTACAGTTTCTCGATTGAGTTATTGATGGTTAGGTTATAAACGCCTTGTTTCCCATTTTATGAAATGACGTTTTCTCAAGTACGAAAGTTGTACACAGTCGACTGGGATGATTACAGCATGTAAAGAACATAACCTATTTTATGAACACTATCCCAGAGTGTACCTAGATGATGAAGAATAAAGGTACGAAATCTCTCAATCAGAAGAGTCTTTGGTAAGAATTCTTAGGAATTCCTTTATAAGAGGTAATTGGACAAAAGTAGACGGTCAACAAATTTGCATTATTCAAGGCCAAGGGAGGGATTTTCCCCCCTCCCCCTTTTTTCCACAGTACGTTTTTCACTGTGGGATAAAATTCCCTGAAAACATGGCAGGTGCTATCGATAGAACCTCAGGTTGTATCGAGAAGAAAATAACTCAATAGTGTCATTAATGTTCTCCATTTAAATTACTCGAGGTCTCGATGCAGAACTGCCAACATGCTAAAGGGTAAGATGGTTGATGCTATCCTTTAGTTATCTAAAATGAATACAGGAATTTAAATATTTTATCTTTCTTTTAATGTGTTTATGCAACATCAGACGTGTATTTACATAAAACCCGACTTTATTTTGTGAATATATTTAGATAACAAGATCAGATAGCGTGTTTATTGATTAACTACAACTGGTTATTTACTGTGGGATTATGGGTTGAGTTGTTTCGTGATCTTGTGGGTGGTTTCCATTGTCTGGGATAAACACTGGTGACCACGTTCAAGACCACACGGCAACATAACCTATAAAAACTCAGTCGACATCATCGCCATTATTAGACGCACAAATCTCAGACGCAATTTGATGTTAAATGTTCCAGCAATTCTTCCCAGCTGACATGGTGGATACAGCTGGCTGTGACCAGTTACTGGAACCTCATGCCCTACAGGTAAAAAACTACCGAGAGACAGCCAGTCTTCTCAGAGGTGTTGATTCGAAATGTTTCATTGTTAATTCCTCATTCAATTTACATGATTTACTTTATTATTAATTGTCTTCGAGTGTTTTTAAGTTAAGTACGTTTAAAAAAATATTTTAAATGTTAATTAATGTAATATTTTAATATTTAATAAGAATTTATTGTGATTAGACGGACAAGATTTAAATAATATATATTTATTATATCACAATATGACACAACTTTACCATCTCATAAGTACGATAATTAAAATGCTATCATAACCTCAAAATTACTGTATCTCTGAGTTTAGTAGTAAAATCTTAGATCCAAAAGAAATATTACTAACGTGACTTAAGTGGATGTCTCAGTCTGTGATAAAAACTCAGAAATTATCACTTCAGATTGATTTTTCAGAGGTTTACATACCCTGATTTAACACGAAAATAAATGGATAATGGAAAACATAACCTCACTTAGCAACAAACAAAAAAATAATGGATCAAAGAATTGGAAGAAGATATATTTTTATTTATGGGCATTATTTATTGTTATATGTTGAAATTATTTATTGAATTTTAAGATATTCTGAATTTAGTGGAAATTTTCGTTATTAGACTTAGATAAATTTACCTGACGGTCGTGATGTTACAGATGCTGGTGACATCTGGTGAAGAGTGCCCTGTGATCAGCAGCCACGTGTGGTTGCGGGAGGCAAACAAACAGGTGTGGAGCAAAGTGTTCCTCCTGCTGCGAGATGCGATCCTTCACATCTCTCACAAGGTACACGACCTGAAAGAAATTACAGGACCATGAAAATCTCCAAAATTTTTATTCAGTATCTCGCAGTACACTGAAACAAGTATGGCCCTCAAAGTTTTAAGGATGAAATGCATATTTAAATAAAAATATCTTTCGACTGTAACAAAGAAACAGCAGCACAAAGTAACCTCTCCCCCTCGACCAGTAGCTCTTGGGGTCAAGCCCCACCACCACGACAGGGTGTAGGTACCATTAAGTGAGGTTATAATTTTTAAAATCATTATTATTATTTTTATGAAATTTTCTGGGAGGGGGGCTTCCCCCTCCCCCCTCTGTATTTTAAACCAAAACTTATTCATCGCCTAAGTGAATACTTGGCTCATTAAAATAAATAAACACGCAGACAGGTTAATGATTTTCTGTGATTTCGTATGAATATCCTCTGTAATGTGGAATTAAATTCTCAGTATAAATTTTGTGAGCTTTCTGGGTTAAAACAGTTTGTTTCATTAAAAGAAAATTTTAGACGAAATTAATCTTACTCATCTTCGAGATACGAGTTGAGAAAGCGAGGATCGTAATTGGACTCTC